CTCAAGTGATCCGTCTTTCCACAAAAGAAGCATTTTGGCACATAAGGCTTCTTTTGTACTGGATCTACAGCAGTAGCAACAGCAGGTTTCTCAATAGCCTTTTCAACAGTCTTTGCAGAAGGCCTCTTTCTTTTCTTGTTCTTGCCCTTCTCAGCTGAAGAAACAAAATGAGCACTCTCTCTTTTGTTAGAATTCATCTTTTCTCCTCCTCATCAACACAATGAGAAATGAGCTCGTTAAGAGTCCATTTATTCGGCTGACAATTATAGGAAGTCCTAATTTGTCCATACTGAGAAGGAAGAGAATTCATAACCAAATGGACTAAAAGGTCATCTGGTAAAGCCATACCCAGCACCTTCAGTCTCTTTGCAATCTGAGACATGCTAAGAATATGCTCCCGAGCACCACCATTGCCAGCAAACTTCATGGAGGTTAATTTTCCTAAAAGTGTTCTCACTTCGGCTTTGTCATTCTTGACATAAGCCCTCTTCGGCTTTGTCATTCTTGACATAAGCCCTCTCCAGCTCGGCAAGATAGTTTTGAGCATTGTTCTTTTCAGCTGAGACAGAGTCTCGAACATGTTCTGGTACTCCTTTCTGCATGATCATCAGACCTAAGCGATTAGAACGCTCCCGCTTCTCATACTGAACCCTTTGAACATCAGTGCTCGTAGCAGTAAGAGGAGCAGGTAAGAGGAGCAGGTTCGTCCATCCTGAATGCAAGATCCAAATCCATACAGCCCAGAAAGATCATAATGTCTGATTTCCAAGACTCAAAATTTGATCCCTTAAGTTTAGGGACACAATCAGGATTAAATGACATGTTAGCTGACATCAGAGAAAATAAACAAATAGATAAGTATAAGCTCACAATTCACAAATGAAACAATTCACATAAGTAGAGATAAAAATGGAAATAAGATACAGACTCAACATTAATATTCTCATCTTTGGATGTAAAATATTCACTTGTAATTAGTATCTCAACGCAGCAATCAAATATTGATAACATAGTCCTGACAAATAATAAATCTTCCTTTGGACCGATATATCATTGTCATGGAAAATAATCAAACAATTATCACATACTTATTGAGATATTTATTGCAAACACGTATTCCAAAATTCGCCAAAAGATAGTAACCTTCCTTTGGGCCCGATTACTATCCGCAACGAATTCTAATACACTGTCTAATATCTTAAAATAAATCAAATCAAGCAAATAGAGGTTCACTTTGGGTGAGGTGACTTATTGATCAAATCAATTTATTTTAACAAATATTAAACACAATAGGGACTTAATCACTCCAAAATTTAATCTCAAGTCGACAAATTAATATTGTAATTAAAACAAAACAATTGCAATTAAATGAATTGAATGTCTAAATATTTAATAATCTAAAATTATTTAGCCCAAATATATATATATATATAAGTCACTAAATTAGAGACTAAGTTATAAAATTGGACTAAATAAATAAAGTTCGGGGTCTAATTTAATTAAATATATGTCCATAGGTCTAGACGAAAGAAAACAGGAAATTAGGGGCCTAATCTAAAGTTACAGAAAATTAGGGGCCTAATTTGAAATTACAGAAACTTAGGGGCCTAATCTGAAGTTACAAAAAATTAGGGCCTAATACGAAATTTTCTAGGGACCTAACCGTAATTTTCCATCCCTAACCTTAAAACCAAAACGATCAGAGACAAGCTCTCCTTTCCGCGAAGACAGCTCCTTTCCGCCGACTCTCTCCAAGAAACAAAATTGGAGATCCCCGGCCAGCAAAGGTTTTTTTTTTTTTTTTTTTTTTTTTAAAAACAAAAAATCTGAAAAAAAAAAAAAAAAAACAAAATACCAAACGAACAATTAATCGTCAATAGCGTTAGTTCAAAACCTCTTACCTGTTCTTCGGATTCTCCAAGAGCAGTGAGAACAAACAAAAAAAAAAATTTTTTTTTTTTATTAAACAAAACCCTCAATCCGTAAACAGTAGGGAAAACAAAAAAAAATATATATACGAAAATCAATCTAAAATCGAGCAATTATGCACAAGGCTCTGATACCACTTGTTACGAATTAATCTCAAATAATTCCATAATAACCCAGATCATGCAAACTACTAGATTCAACAAAATAGATTGAATAAAAAAAGGTTGCGTACCTGACATTGCCGTACCAAGACAATCGTTGTTCGTCGATCTCGAATGTTGTAGAATTAGGTTTGCACAGCCTTCCAAGAAATTGAAAGAAATCGATTTTAGCGGAAGCAGTAACGAAAGGACGTAAAACTGAAATCGTATTTACTCCTCTGGAGACCACGACCTTTATATACCGCTGTAGCGTTAAGTACAATTCCTATTTCGGTTTTACGAAATAGAATTATTATAAATGGTCCTCTACACTTAATACTATAAATTAGTTGATACTCAATAGTTTTATTTGAAATTGACTTTACAATTAGACTGCTTTACATATTTAATTTTACATATTAAACCCACAATAGAAAATTAAATCTAACATGGCGTTGTGACTATATTGAGGTCATGTCTACTTGTCCACACAAGTAGTGTGGCTAGACCTTATTCTGCATTGATCAGTGGCGGACCGATGTGTGGCCTTTGAAGTTAATGATTGAGCTTGATGGGTATAGTTTGTTGGATGGGTCCTCCTAGTAGATGGTGAAAGGGTAATTTATTATTAGGAATCCGAGAGAATTATCTGGTTCTACTTTGTCACCATTTTCTTTGAGTCTTTAGTTTTGTTTTTGTTGCATTTTTTAATTGTTAGTTGTTATTATCTGATTATGAGTTTTAGGATTAGGATCATGATTAAGGTTTTTATCTTCCAATTTTGTATTCTTGCCGCTAGTAGCAGGTCGATCACTGTGTTTGACAAATATAC